TGCGACTGTAGCTTTTTTTTTCCCAGAACATTGTCTTCAAAATAAGGGTGCGTCTTATTCACCGAAAAATACGGTATATACGATACTTTGTATGTTTACAGAGAGACCTGTGACATAGAGTAATATGGCTATGTATCTGTACTTTTATCCTAGATATGTTTGGTGTTTGTCTTCTTTACTATTCTTTTTATCCATTGCCGAGGGAAGTTATAATGAAATTTTCTTCTTAGCATCTACTGTATTACAAATCTTGTTTATTCCTTACAAGGGAACCCCCCAGTGGCATAGCGGTATGTCTTACAACGCTAGAATCCGGGTTTCGATTCCCATGGTGGGCAGAGCACAGTATAGCCCATTGTGTAGCTTTGTGCTTAATTACAAACAAACAAACCTTACAAGGGAGTTTGATTTATAGGCATGACATTTAACGTATTTGTGGGTTTCTTGTTGATTTATGTAATATATGAGTTATGTGCCTGTTTGGCCATTATATAGGAATGGGAATTTATCTGTTTTCTATTGGGAATCATTCAGGGGATTCATAAGTTTTGGAATCTTGTCTATAGTTTATGATCATGCTAATAATTTGTCGTCAGCTTTTCTGATCTAAATCTTTCGTTTCAGAGTGCGAAGACGTTATCAAGGAAATGATCCATGTAGGAGTTACCGAGCGCAGGTGATAGGGGTGAGTCCTGATGTTAGTAGTTATCTTAATTTTGAAAATAAATTGTGTTGATACAGGGAATTATTGAGTTATATTATCTTAGAGATTGTCAGTTGGGTGCATTCTTTGAGAGCTCCATCATTTTCAAGTTGATGGTGTATCAGTACATATAATACTCTAGTGCAAACAAACTTATCATTGTGTATTGTGAGGTTATTGTGGTTGCTTCCATAACCTATACAAAGTGGACTAACATGTATGGATGTGTTACCAGTTATTAAATGTACCAGATATCTAACTAAGTGGCGAATCTCTGCTGTTAACTATCGGACGGTTTGTTTGTTTGTAATTAAGCACAAAGCTACACAAGGCTATCTGTGCTCTGCCCACCACGGGTATCAAAACCCGGATTCTAGCGTTGTAAGTCCGCAGACATTCGGACGGAGAGGCTAGTCTTGTTTGTGAATGCTCGGTAGGTCTTAAAAGTCTGCTGTGATTTATTGTTAGTTACTCGTTCCTTGAGGAGTTTGTTAATCTTTTTTTCTTTCTTAGTGTTTCTTACTGGATTAGGCTTTAATCTTTTTTGTGGCCATCTTCAACTAAAGTTTGTACCTAAAAGTTATTGATCAAATATTAGACAAGATTTTAGTTTGCTGTTAAATACAAAGCTGCATAATGGGCTATCTGTACTATGCCAAACGCAGGTACCGAAACCCGACTTCTAGCGCTATAAGCCCCCAGACTTACCGGGGGCTACTTGAAAAGAGATTACAAATATGACCTTCCAACAGAACACATATATAATGTTCTTTAAATATGAGTTTTAAGGGTTTGATAGGTCAAGAAAAAAACACTATCATCAGTCAGTACCTTTTTTTACGCTTAGAACCAGTTTCTTCTTCTCAGAGAAACTGGAATATCAGCTATTCCTTGTTGTCACGAGGAGCTCGTTGTAATAGATATTATTATACTATGTCAAACGAACTGCTATTTTTTGTTGTCAGGAAAGACATATAGGCCTAGCATGGCCTGGTGGTTAGGGCGCTCGACTCGCACTCTGCATGTCGCAAGTTCGACTCCCAGTCGCCAAACATGCTCGTCCTTTAGGCTTACTGTCCAGCCATCCTAGGGTAAAAATTCTTGACTAATACAAAAACTACCCGAGCGGCCGATCACAAAAGTAATTGGAATTAAGGCCAAATGAAGAAGAAAAGTTGTCAGGAAAGAGATTTAGTTTCTTGTTATTAAAACTGCTGTCAGTTGTTGTAGGGTTAGGTGTGTGTTACCAGCTACACTTGGTTGTCAAGAGGGAACCTGCTGCCAATCATGATTTCAGGGGTATGTGTCTACCAAATCTTCTATTGTATCTTTCTTCGTGACGTTAAAGACGTATTAAGCACAAACAGGGAGAATACAATTTGTTGGTACTAAAAATAAAAAGTTTGATCTTAAATAAATTAAATCTTGATTAACGTAGTAAAATATTAAAACAACGTGCCTGGTTAGTTTATGGTTGAGCACAAAGCTACACAATAGGCTATTTTAGCTATGTCCATCATGGGTGTCGAAACTCGGTTTTCAGCGTTATAAGCCTTCAGGCTTAACACTAACTAAGTAAAGCTTTGCAGAAATGTCCAATAAGTTATGTCTATTGTTCTTAATTCTAATTTTTATCCGTTTTGAGCACCTAAGGACTTAAAAAATAACTTAATATGTTACTAAATTAATGAAACTTGTGTTATTTAAATGATAGCCGTCTTATTTACTAAAAACATGACTTAATGTACGTATATTGCTTTTATAAAGATACAATTTCTTATAATTTACATAGGTTGTAACGAACATTAAGAACTAAACGGAGTTTCCTAGCCAAATTTTGGAGAGAACTATCTTGCTGATTGACACGATCTATGCTTTGTTTTGATCTTAGGATGTGCTATGTTCACAGAATTTTACTGTATACCACCTCTCATGAAGAATTATGCTATATAATGAAAAAAAACAACATAATATAAATATTAAAGCAAAAACTGGTTAACCACAGGCTTGTTACTGACAAAGTAAAAACGTTGATAGAAATGTTGCTGCCTGTGCTTTTTTTGCTTCTAACATAAAAAGGACACCTTGCGGTAAGAAAAAGCATTTAAAGTATTAAGCAATGGTGTAATTAAATATAGTATGTTACTTTTGTTAGTGTGTCATATTACATATTTATACAAAGAAGAAAAAACAAAGACGTTTTCATCGGAATTATTTACTGTCTTTCAAGTTATAAGAACACTAGAGTTATATTAAAATGTCTTAAGTAGCCGATAAGTGACTTTTACGTGCGTAATGATACTCTGGAGAAATTGTGAACAATTGAAGCTTTTAATCCGTGTTATGACGCTTAACCGTTTTTTATTCATTCTTATAAAAATATATAAATAACACATGTTTTGTCTTTCTTATTGCATTTGTTTTTGTTGTTAAGAGTCATGAACATGGACCCTTCTGGTTGATCAAAAGTTATATGAAAATCTTAAATTACTAAATTTAGAATATAAAATTAGTCTGCTTAACTAAAAGAAAAAGATAATTTGTCAAATGTACATACATAACGATTGATATTATGCTTTCTTACATTACATATTTTGTTTGTGTTACAAAAGAAAATTGGAGAAAGGGTTTGTGATGAATTGAACTAGAATGAAGTTTACTTTATTTTTTATCCGTGTAATTTTACTCCTAAAGTTTATAATTTTAATTTGTAACAAGCTAATATCATTATCTTCAGAGAATTGCAATGTACATAACTTTGATTTCAAAGTTTCGCACTTGTGAAAACTTGATCATATAAATAATTTATTATAGCATTCTGTTTTTAAATTAAAGCGAACACTTGATAGAACGTAAGTGCTTGACGTACAGTCAATTCTTTATGTAGAAAGTGGGTGTAAGCATTTAAAGTATATCCAACACACGTGCGAGTACATCTTACTACTGGATTAGACCCTAGAGCGGAAGACCACCATTTCAGTGACCAAAAACTGGATTTTGTTACTGGTTTGTTTGTAAGTAATTCAATATTTACTTCGAGAAATACGTTTTAGAAAAAGACAGGTAGATAAAAATGCAAAACACACTGAGGCTCACATAACGTGTAACAATAAAATATAGACTTAAACGTGACATTGTAACGGATGTCGAGTTTAATATAAAATTAGCAATTTTTACTACTTTTTTTGCTGAAGTATGAAGTAATAAGCAGTAACAATTTTTATTTACATATAATTTTTGGCAAAGTACACAAACATTGCTTGAAAAACATTGATTTTTCATTACTTGCTTTGTATCTAGCATGGCCTCGTGATAGAGTGCTTGTCTGTGAATCTGAAGATTCATGGTTCGTGTCCAATTGCCACAAATCGTTCGTTCTTTGTGAGTGATGACAAAATCATACTAATTGATTAGATTAACCCAAAAGTTTAGCGGTGATTGCTATTGCCTAACTACCTTCCCTCTAATCTATCAATTTATAATTAGGGATGGCTAGTGCAAACAGTCCCGGTGCAGCTTTTAACGCATATTCGAAGGAGTTTTGTTATTGTTTATTTGTTAAGCACAAAGCTACACAATGGGATATCTATGGTCGGCACAACGCATGTATCGAAATCCGATATTTAGCATCATAAACCTTCAGACGTACCGCTGAGCCACGAATAAAACACGCGTACTGAAAAGTCTACGCCAACAGAAAAGTCATTCTGTAAAATAAACGAAACAAAATAATTTCCTGGTTATCACATGACTAATGTATATTGTTAGCACGCAAGACCATTTCAGGTATAAATAATGTTCTTGTTTTTTGGTGTTTTTTTACAAGTAAAGTGAATATGAAAGAGCCTTTGTCGTGTTATAACAGAACAATATTAATGTTTTTAATGTACATAAAAGGAAAATGACGATTATTCTTTATTGTTTACGATAAAACCTGCTGTTTGTCTTTCTCAATGAATAGTTTTATTGTAAAACACTCATAAAAATCGGTAAAGATAAGCTAATTCTTTTTTGCAATTTTGTTCGTATTAGTTCAATAGAAATAGACTGTTTATAAATGAATGTTGATGTTTCTGGAAACAGCATGAAGTAGCAGCAAAAAAGACAGAAACCAAGAAACAACCAGCAACAAGTACCAAGCAAGTAACTACGTGCATCTAATGGTTCCAAAAGCTTTCAAACTTAAGAATTTATAAATCATTTTGTAAAAACTTCTGGTATTTACAATGCGAATTTATCATAAATTGCTTGTATTTAGTCAAATTAATAAAAAAAGGCCTAAATGTAACAAAATACTGGTTTAGTTTAAACTATAAATCAAACAATTGTTGAATTAACTTGTAACACAAACACGCGATGTCTGTTGTTTAAATCTTATTGTCATACTATTAACATTTTTTAATCGTCCCAGATAGAATAAAACCTCCTCTGTTCTTATAATGTTAATCGCTGCACTTCACTGTCTCATTCCTAAAGCCTTTGCGAATTTTCTGTTGATGCTAAGCCTGGCTTCTTATAAAATGGCAACCACTGCAGTCTGCACTAAGCACGTTACCCTCGTCTATAGTTTCTCATCAATTTCTCCTCGTTCTCTCTACCCCTTTTCTTTCCCTCCCTCTCCTTTACTACAACTGGCTGCGATTAGAGGTAGTTTCAACCCTTTGATCCCGGTCCAGAAACCTGCACATCTGCCTTATGGCTCTGCGCATGCATCTATGGATTGTAAACGAACGTGATAGAAGAGTGAGTTCCTGGTGGAAACAAAGGATGACCTGACTAATAGGATGACTCATCAGAATGGGCGAGGCTCGCTAGAGATAGGGTGCGCTGTTCTAAAATTTCATTTCATGATAACGAGAGTCTGTTTTATAAAGACAGACGTGTCTCCATTTCTTTCAAATAAAGGGAGCTAAAATAGTATACATACATACTTAAAATCAATACACTCGCACTGTTACACTAATTTGTTCATAATCTGAACC